GAAATATTCCCATTTGCAGCAACATGGAGAGGCCCAGAGAACATTATATTTAGTAAAGTAAGCCAGGCCTATAAAAACAAAATTATATCATTTATAATGCAGACTCTAAAAAGTAATGCAGGTGAATCTATATACAAAACAGAAACAGACTCACAGACATAGAAAACAAACCTGTGGCTACCAAAGGGAAGGAGGAGGGAGTATGGGATTAACAGATTAAAAACTACTCTACATAAAATAGATTAGCATCAAGAATTTACTATATTATACAGCTAATTATTTTAAATATTTTATAATAAGCTATAATCAGAAAAAAAAAATAACTGAATCACTATGCCGTACACCTGAAACACAATATTGTAAATCAACCACACTTCAATGCAAATTGATGAATGCATGTGTTATACATTAATGACTGATGAGTACTGATGAATTACCCTCCTTAGAATCCTGCTTCAGCATTGTATACAAGTGCCTATTTCCCTACCCTTTTGCAAAGGGTGCTTTTTTTTTTAAAAACATGTTGCTAGTTTAAGCCTGGTGTGCAGCAGTCCATGGTGTCGCAGAGTCAGACATGACTGAGCAACTGAACTGAACTATGAGGTGAAAACATCAGTCTTAAGTGGAATTTCCCCTATCCTAAGGGAGGTTCAGTCTTTTTTAGTATCTTTACAAAATACTGTGTTTTCTTTGAAGCATCTATTCATATTCTCATTTCGGTTTTATATTGTGATACTGGTGTTTTAAAAGTTGATTAGTAAGACCTTTCATAAATTAGAGGTCAATCTTTTTTTATATGAATTGTAACTTATCTGCCTGTTAATTTTGCTTCTACTATTTTGTCATGCAGAAATGTTTCTTTTTAATGTAGCCAAATTTACTGATTTTTTTAGTTTTATGTCTTCTCAATTTTAAGTCATAGTGAGAAGCTTTCTTTACATAAGAAAATTCTTCCCTGTCTTCTAGTACTTCCTGCTTTCACTTTGTAAGTTAAGATCTTTAATCCATTTGGAATTTATCCATATAAGCCATGAGGTATAGATCCAGTTTTTCCCTCTGGATTCCTACCTAGCTGTCCCAACACCACTTGTTGAATAGTCCAAGTTTCTGTCACTGATTTGAGATGCCATTTTTTATCATGTACTAAATTCTTGTAAGAATTCCTATTCCTGGATTATATAATATCTTTCACTGATCTTTCTACATATGAACTAGTACCACAGTATTTCAATTATTAAACATTATGTTTTAAAAACTGGAAGGACTGGTTTTCCTTTATTGTTTTCTTCAGATTTTTCATGGTCATTTAAGAGAATTTTTTTCCTTACAGACATTCAAATCAGCTTATCTAGCTACAGAAAAAATCCTATTATAATTATTTTAATCATGATAAACCTATATTTTTCAACTTAGAAATAACACCTTAAATACTGTAGAGGGAAGTAACATTTTTATCATGTTGAGTCATACCATCAAGAAGACATTCTATCTTCCTATTTGTTCAAGATTACTTTGTACCTCAGAAGCATATGTAAGCTTTCATGCTGTGGTCCTTATACATTCTTGTTAATTTCTAGGCATTTTTTTGTATATACTTTTTCTTGCTGTGATAAAAGCAGTCTTTTCAAAAACATATGAATGCTACAGATTTCAGTATATTAATCTTGTTCCCTGCTACCTTAGTTTTCTTATCATTTGTTGTTTTTCAATTAATTTTCTTACCACATTGTTGTTCAGTTGCTAAGCCACATCTGACTCTTTGCAACCCTGGGGATCATAGGGCATATAAAGCAGTATGTATATCTTACCACATATAAAGTAGTAATTTTAACTCCTGCTTTCCAATGTTTAAATCTTGAATTTTTTTCTTTTCTATTACTAAATAGTCTTAACACCAAGGAATCTGAATTGTCCTGAAAGAAAATGCTTTCTGAAATTTTTATTTAGTTATCAAAAAATAAGATCAGATAAAGATTTCACGTCATTTTATTTGTTTTTCCCCAAACACAGTTCTCCCTAAGACCCTAATTTTGACAACGTGGCTTGTTAAATATTGTGCTTTTTAGGCATTTAATTCCCCTATGCTGATTCCGTCTTAGTTCTAAGAGTGATGGAGGGAGGCATGTAAAGGGTGGGTCATCCCTGGTAGGTTGCGGACCAGCCAGATGCACATTAATGAGTATGTCATTAGCTGGGGCAGGGGATGTGTCTATTGGTCACAAATGGTGGTTTCTTTCCCACTTCTGTTTTTCCTCCCCCACCAGGAAAGCCACTCAAATACACAGGGAGCTACCTAGAGAGCTGATCATGTATTTAGATGCCCCTATACATGGAATTCATTCAAGCAAACAATGCAGTGACATGCACAGGCTCCTATGTGAGAGGCTAGAAATAGAATTTACTGGAGGGAAAAACCCAAGCCTTTTAGATTTTAAATCTGAAATTTAACGGGGGTGGGGACTCAAAATACAATATTACATTGAGCACCAAAAGGAAAAAGATATGCTTCTTGTTATCTTCTGCAGTATTTTTTCACTGCTCTTAGCAGCTTGTTCCTAGGAATACAAATCTTCTCAATACTCAGTCATTGCTCTAAAAGGGTATGTTACACCTCACATGATCAACCCAGAACGAAGAAACAATTGGTTTAGTCAAAGAGAAGTATTTAGAAAACGTTCTTTGGCCATATGGCCACACTTCTCATGTTTTCAAGCTTTTCACTCTTGGCACTGCTCTTCCATGATAAAATATGATAATTTCCATCTTAAAACAACTACTTGCTTGTGTAGGAAAAGGAAATGGAGCCCTCAAGGCTACTTCTATCTCCCTAACGCCATCCAAGAAAAACCAGTCCATCCGCAGTTTTGTCTTCACTTGAGAAGTTAAGTGTTGGAAAGGTCTGCATTTACGGGGAGAAAGGACTCGGACCGGCTTGAGATGTAGAAAAGATGCTGTTCCGAGGATACAGGGTACAAGAGGACCAACCCCGCCGTCCCCTCCCCAGCGCGGTGTGAGCCCTTTAGGCTATTTGCCAGACAAAATAAAACCAACAAAGACCTGTTTGCTTAGAGTTACAGCAACAAATGCGGATGCTGTTTGGGTTTGAATGCCAGCTCTTCCACTTGTATAACTTTAACCTGCCTCTGCAACAGCTTTGTCAGCTGTAAAATAGGGATGGAAATATCTACAACACACAGGTTTTATGAGGTCCAAGTAAATTAACACATGTTAAGAGCTTAGAAAAGTACATGATAATTTTCTGGCAAGCATCAAACTCAATAGATATTTGTTATTATCATCAATATCAAGATATAAGCTTTCCAGGGAATTAGAGTAACCATCCCATTGATAGTAAGAGGAGAGTTTATTCAACTCTGGTTAAATTAAAGCCTTAAATATTCTATTCTCTTTCAATTCCTTCTTCAGTCCCAGTTACAAATAGTGTTCTTTAAAAAAATCCTTCTCAAAAAAAAAAAAAATCCTTCTCAAAAGACAAACACTGCATGACCCCACTTATATATGGAATCTAAAATAATTTATCTCACAGAAGCAGAGAACAGAACATAATAGCCACAGGGTGGGGGGTGGAAGGGGAGATGTGGTCAAAGGGTAAAAACTTAAAAAAAACTTCTCTCCACATATTAAATAATTTTCTTTTGAGTTACTGGAATATTTTAATTTTTTCTGAATTTAGTTATGTTTCATTGAGATATGTTTATGACATCTAATAAGAAATCAGATTTAAAAAAATAAGGTATTACAGAAAAATAGTATGGTATTCTCCTCTGGAAAGAACTCTCTCCTCTTTAATTACTTATAACACAAAGTATTTTAGAAAAGGACACAAGGATGGTTAACTATATTCTTCCCCGTGTTCTGTTAAAATCTACTCATTTTTCTTAGCACCTGCTATCTCAGCATTTTTCAAGCTGTTAGAAGATTATGAAACATATTACTTTTTAAAAAACTGAAACAGACTAGGAACTATTAGTAAGAAAGAAGTCTTGTTTTGTGAGACTTTATTTCTGTTTCCATATACATCAGTATGAATGAAGATACATGTATACTGGAGTTGTGATGTAATAACATTTCATACTGGGAATCCTGACCACAAGTTTGATGAACATTATACTAGGGAGCTGGCATAATGCCTCGGTTCTACTTAAATTGTGATTATCTTGAAGAGATTTTGCACAGAGGTCTCATTCACTGTAAACATATAATTTTCAAAAGAATGGTAATGCAAAATAAACCCAAGTCCTCCTTCAGTGCCTCTCAGCATCCTGACAGTGATGGAGATTATTAACTGCATTCCCCCCCAGCCTTCTCAATGGCTTACACAAGAGCCATTGATCACGGCAGCGCAACTCCTGCTTCACCCTTAGAGCTTTAATTACAGGGGACCTCCTCTGTGCCAGGTATTGCCCTAGTTGATAGGGATAAATGACTGTGAAAGCAGTTTGTGGAGTGATGTTCTTGAGAAGGACCTGTTCTCTTTTCTCACTGAGAAAAAAAGGTGTGTTGACCATCTGGCCTTTGCCCACCAAGGCCTGCTTCTTATGGAGAAATCTAGAGCCAAAGAAACTAACAATATCCGGTTGCAATAAAAAAGCAAAAGTAAACAATTTACACTTCGTATAAATAGTTGCAGTAGAAAAAACACATCAGCTACTTTCAAAAATCATTCATTTGGTTGGTAATAATTCACACAGTACTTTTTGTTAGCTCAAGGATTGTCATTTGGAGACTAATTTTTTTTTTTTTTTTTTTACTGTTTGTTGAATTTTCTCCTTATTTAGCCTGGTTCCTAACCCATTGTCCTCAATCAATATGCATATTGCAAACAGCCCCTCCCTGTTTATCCCTGGCCTTCTGTAAACTATAAGCTCTCTGCAGGCAGTGAATATCTCCTTTGAGTCACTTCCCATGATACCCAGAAGAGTAAGAGACTCTCACCAAGTACCCAAAAAGTTTTGTTAATGGATAAGGAAAGCTCTTACCTTGGAGGAACTGGTAGCCTGGGGCACAGCAAGTCTGCATTTGGAATCTGGGTGTAGTTGAAGGAATTCAAATTATAAACACACAGGAAGGACCCTGGAAGCAGAAAACACACAGGCTATACCATTTTCCTACATTGTACTTATCTCTCTAAGGGAGCTAGTAAAGAAACCATAGTCATTTTACCCAACTGGGGAAAAGATAGAATAAACCACTCAGATTTAGAAAACAGGTCTCTGGGTGTCCTAAAGACAAAAAGAATAAGCATCCGGTTGAGATCAAATCAGGTTCTCTCCTTTCCTCTCTCCAAAATGTCAAATTCAAAAGTTATAAAATGATTGGTAACAAATAAATGATTTGAAGATGATTTATTATATAGGCTTGATATTTTTAACCCAGTCTTGCAAATAATTTTTAAAAATCTGGCACCCCACTTCTCAGGCAGATGAAATTTGCAGTGGGCTGCCTCGAATTTCTTCTTACTTCCCTTAGCTTGTTTAATCTTTAAAATATAAATCTGAAAAGCAGGCTCAGAGTAAGTTACACAAGTGCTTTTGGAACAACATACAACTGTCCCACCGGTCAGCGAAACTATCCACAGCCCGAATATTTTAATGAAAGAACATACTTGTCGGCAATTCAACCCGAAGCCTGTGGGTGCCTCTCTAGGACTGGATGTGCCAAGTGCACTTCTCTGACCTCCATCTGACCCTGCCTTCGGGCCCTCAATGTCTGCTGTTTCCTCCCACTTTCTACAGACCCTGGCAGTAAGCAGAGAACAGATAGGGTTTCAGATGAATTCCAGATAAACCTGAATGCAATTAAGCTCAGGAGAAAATGTTCATGGCCCTTTCTACACAAGGAGAGGCACCCACAAGGAAGAGGACAATTTCCCACTTTGCAGAGGAAGCAGGGGCAAGGCAAGTGATCTGATCTATGTGTGTACAGGTTACCCTGCTGTGGCCCCCAGCCTTAGGGGGAATAGTGACCCCATCCTTCGGTACCCACCACTGGTGTTTGCAAAGAGCTGGACCTCTTCCAGGGTATCAAGCTGCTCTTCAGGACAGCTGGAAACACAGAGAACGATGGAACCGAGCCTCACACCCCTGACTCCCAGGTTGCAGGAATTCATAAAAAACACGTGTCTAGGAGGCAGATAAAACGGAAGGAGAATGTCGGAGAGCACTTCCCGTGGTTGGGTTTACCTGTGGGACTTAAACGATAGCCACGCGCTATCAAACATGGGAATAGTTAAAGCCAACTTTCATCATCAAATACTTCCTGCACAATTTAACAAGTATTGTGCCCACCTGGGGTCATCTATGGAGGTGCACAGTTTGGGAGCTGTATTCAAATGTTAACAAAACTTCCCTCTTCCAGATTCAGCATTTTCTGGGATGTTGATAACACTAAAGGGCTGATAACACTGCCCTGGGTCTGCTAGGTGAGGCCAGTGCATGAATGATTCGTGAAGTCCACAGAAAGCATGGTGTATTCAGCTGTATCTCAGAGAATAGCTCAACCCAGGGATGTGAGAAGGGGAGAGGCGGCGGCTGAGGCTGTGAATTAAAGGCTCACCCCTCCCCCTGCCTCCCAGTCTGAGCCAGGAAACTCGAGACCCTTCCTGCGGCAGCTGCCCAGGCACTGGGCACAGGAACAAAGCTGCTTGTTGCCATTAGCGAGGTCACGTGAGGGCTGGCAGCGGCAGCTCCCAGACCCATGCCCTCCACTTATCCGGGCTGCTGAGATCAGAGCAGTGTCAGGTCAAGAGCCCTGTAGGCAGTTCTCCAGGACAGAGGCCTGGAGAAGGGGTCCCAGAAGCTTCTTTTCCCTCAACTGGGGTTGGGAGAGGGGGGAGGTGGAGTAACAGGAGATGGCTGAACAGATTTCCAAGCGTATGATAACTATATACTTTATTCTACTTATTTTATTAAGTTTTAAAAATTTCAGTAAAATACACATAAAATTTTACCATCTTAAAGATTTTGTGTGTGCAGTGGCACGAACTACATTCACGTTGTTGTACAACTGTCACTACCACCCCCCCCACAAGAATCTTTTCATCTTGCAAAACAAGCTCTGTACCCACTTAATAATAATTCATCATCCCCCAATCCCAGCAACCACCATTCTACTTTCAGTCTCTATGAATGTGACTACTCTACACAGCTCATATATGTGGAATCAAAACGTTTATCTTTTTGTGATTGATTTATGTCACTTATCATAATATCCTCAAGATTTATCTATGTCGTAGCATATGTCAGAATTTCTTCCCTTAAAAAGGCTAAATAATATCCCATTATATGTATATACACTTTGTTTACTATTCATCTGCTAGACACTTGGTTGCTTCTACCTTTTGGCTCTTAAGAATAATAAAATATATACTTTTCGTTTTAAAGAGGATGACTGTTTGCCAGCACTGCATTATGAATACAGTATGCAAAGAGAAGCACAGGTGTATCTGGGAAGCCTCTTCCTCTTGTGTTCTGTGTGTGTGACACCACAAGTGTATGGGGAAATGGCCCCGGGGCAATCCATTTCCAGCAATGCAGAGCCCCTTACTCGAGAGCAACATTCACGGGTAGAAGAGGCCTGCTCTGGGATCTGTATTTGGTGACTCCAAACTTATACCCAGGACCTTATACACTTAAGATGTCTTTCCTAGGAGCTGCTTTTGTTTTTCAAGTCTTGAAGTTATTATAAGGCCTTATCCATCTTAGAAAATCATGGCCAGGGATTTCTCTCCCCTCGGGGGATTCCTGTCTCTTCTCTCACCTTTTGGTTTCTTTTGGAGTCAGAGGGATTAGAGCATGCACCACAGTGCCACAGCTGAGAGTGTAGGCTGGGGAGGGAGTGGGACACAGGTTCTCAACATCCCCAGGTGGGATTGAGGTATTTCCACATAGAAACAATACTGTGTTTGGTGTATAGTTAGTAGCATGATTCTGATGCATTGTAGATAATAATGCTTCCCAGGTGGTGCTAGCGCTAAAGAACCCGCCTTCGAATGCAGCAGACTTTAAGAGATGCAGGTTCAATCCCTGGGTTGGGAAGATCCCCTGGAAGAGGAAATGGCAACCTGCTCCAGTATTCTTGCCTGGAAAACTCCACAGACAGATGAGCCTTTCAGGTTACAGTTCATGGGGCTGCAAAGAGACACGACTGAATGACTAAGCTCACACACACACACACACACACACAATGGATAATAATAGTGACAATTTATACTTATTAAGCCTTAGCTCATGCGCTGTCTCAGTGGATCCTGAAAACAGCCTTATGAGACAGGTATAATCACTGGTTTAAAAGATGAAAATTCAGCTCAGAGAAGTTAAGTACCCTGCTCAAGGTCACACAGCTGAAAAGCAGCAAGGCTTGAATCTGAACTTGGGACTGGCTGGTACTAAAACCTGTGTCCTTACTACCACATCAAAATTTCCTTTTATGAGTTGGGGTTGATCAAGTTTTGAGCGGGAAAACAGTTTCCAGGCTCAACATGACTAATTTATACAAAGTTGTGAAATCTAGCACCTAGGTAGTTGAGGACTTACTTTTTTTGAGTCATGTCCTGCCCTGAAAGAGGAGCCCCTTCTACTGGGGAGTTCTTCTTGCCACACACATTCCCAAAGCTGTCATAGCCGAAGAGGAGTCTTCCTGCGGCGCCAGCCGCCACTGAGTAGCCCATGATGAACACCTGGCAAAACCCAAGTGGCATGTGAGAGCCTGGCCAAAGGGCTGGAAAGCAGCACCCCACGTCCCTGAATGCTGACATAAAATGGAACCTGGTAAAATCAAATCTCCCCAGCACCAATGCACTTCCCTCCTTCAGCAGTGACAATAGCAAGTCAGATCAATTAGAGGTCCCCAGCCTCCACGATCTAAGGCCTGACGATCCGAGGTGGAGCTGATGTAATAAGAGAAATAAGGTACACAATAAATATAATACGCTTGCATCATCCCCTGACCATCTCCCATCCCCGTCCGTGGAAAAACTGTCTTCCATGAAACCAGTCCCTGGTGCCAATAAGGTTGAGAACTGCTGATAAGGGTACTGCTTGTCTAGTACTCTAACAAGTTACAGAGGGACACTGTTCTAAAACTCTGAAGCAGATTCCTCTCTGCTTTCTCCCCTTCTTCCCTAAGAGTCTGTCATTTTCTCTTTTTGCCTAAGATCACCAGGATAACTCAAACTTTTGCCCCTTGTTTTATCTAAGGCACTGGGGCTCTGCTTCTTTCCCTGAGGTTCTATCCATCCATCCACCTTTCCTCCCTTCCACCTCTCTCTCCTCCTACTTCTTCTTCCACTTTTATTTTTATCTTGTATTTAGGGGACTGATCTTCAGGGGTAGAAGCAACACAGTTGAAAAATACCAAAATACTGTCTGTAACAAGTGAGAAAATGGTGCTTTGGAATAAGTGCTTAAAATACATAAGGACTGTCAGGAATTTTGCTGGACAAGAACATCATGCAATCTGTAGTCACTTTTGTCCAATTCCGTAACGAATATGGAATAATTAAAATTTCAGCTCAAGTGACTAGTCCCTTAATATGCATTGATGGGCCCTCTACTCAGATTGAGTTTGTATCTTCCCATAACACAAGCTTAGTATCATACATTTCTCTATCTGTAATACAGAAAATACCATTCAATATTTGGAAAAAATAACTGTGGTACCAGATGTTCCAAAAGGACATATTCCCAAAGTCAATTATGTTTCAGATACTTTACATTCATTACTAATTCAGGAATCAAAATAACAGTCTTAAAGTGCCTACTAAGGGATATGGAAACAAAATCGAACCCCCAAGGAACTCAGCCTAGAAGACAGGCAGGGCTCAGGGCTGATACACTTCTGATATCCCAGGGAAGGAGGGTCTCTGCCACTCCTACTCTACCAGCACCTCCTCAACCTCGAGGTCAGACTCCAGGACGAGTGGGTCACCTGTGCATGTGGACAGATCCCTCACCCTTTACTCTCAGGCTTCGGGTGGGGGGGAGTGTGCCCCTGTGGCTGGACTGTCGGCTGACCCACTCCTCAGTTGGTCCCCCTCCTGCTCTTCCTTTTGGAGTGTGGTCAGATTCTGACTGGTTTTAGACTTAGAGGGAGGAAAGGGGTCCTGGTCTTCCACCCACATCAGCAGAGATCCAATAATAAAGGGGAGCTTTAAGGGGAGCTCCTGCCCAGGAGGGGAAGGGATTTTTTTTGGTGGGGGGAGCCAGTGGCTGGAGGGAGATTTGCATAATCCTGAGTCCCTGTCATACTACCACCTTAGACCATTAAAATTTTCTTTCAACTTCAAACATACAATTGCAATTCCAAACAGTAGGTGGGTATACCAGTTACTGTGGAGCTATCAAGGAGGTTACAGTCAGTCGTGGGAAGATATGGAGAAAGGAGTCTTGAAAGATGACTAAGAAAAGGCAAGGTGTGAGAGGACACTGGGGAGGGAGCACAGGCAGAGATGGTCCAGAATTGAGTGGGTTCTGTCTATGCACATATAAAGAAAGGCTGGCACTCTTTCTGTTTGCAATAGACTGTCCCGGTTCATAATTCTGGTCCCTCACCCCAAACCTCCTTTGTTCAGTCCCAGCTCAGGACAGCACCATCAATAATTCCATCCAGCATGTGCCATGTTCCTGGTCAGGATGTCATAACAAAGACCAGAAAGCCGAACAGCAGAGGCAGAAATAGCATCCTTGCCCTCTTGGCTGTGGTTAAAAAAATATTGTAAAAGATACAAAAGCTAGTCACCTGAGGAAGAACTATCATTACTCAAATTTAATATAGTAAAGAGAACATGGGCACATTGAAGTTTTCTGATTTATTTTGCAAATGATATGTAAATGTAAAGCCATTCCCAGCTTTGTGCCACCTCTCCGATGGTTCTTAGTTCTCTGGGCTGTGATGCGCCATCTATAAATCCTTTCCCCAGACAACTGCTGGCTGAAGGTTTGATAGTTAGGCACTGGGTTTGAGCTGTGGAGAGGCCAGGGAAGATCATTAACAGTCCAAGTTCAAAGCAGCCGGGAACTGGCTGAACAGCTGATCCCCGCATTTATACAACAGAAGACCCAGAGGGAAACACCAGCATCTGCGAAAAGTTTAAGAGGAGGTGTTATAGGTATAGTTTTCCCTAACTCCTAGAGAAGAGCTCCAAGGGTCATTATAGAGGCAACACAGAACATCTGATTATGCCTTTAAGGTCCAACCTTCCACTGTGCCTGTTATTCACCTATCTGTGTGAAACCAGTAGGTAAGTCAAGTGAGTAAATGCCTTTCTAGCTTGGAAAGAGGTTCATATTTCAGGGTTTATTCAAATTTACCTCTTTTCAACAAAGGTAATTACATGGTAGCCACTGTCAGGCTTTATAATCATTTACCATGAAGAAACAGCATGCCTCCAACTGAAATGGATGATTTCATGAACATTATCTTTTAAGAACTCGAGTGAATCTTTTTCTGCTGTTACCTACAACTTTTAAAATAAGTTATAAAAGCATCAAGGTTTAGCTTCCAAGAGACTATTCCAGGACTAAAATGGAAGGTCTGCCAGCAATCACGCACACCTGGAAACTAGAGTGGGCAAAAACCTCATTACCTATCCAACTAGAGGGTTATATAGCAAAGGCTTGTTTACCTAATAGCTGCTAAACACAACATTCCAAGAGCATGTTACACTCAGCTAAAGTAAGAGGAACTTATTTCTGGGCTTACCTGGATATCCCTTTGTGAGAATAACATTTTATTCGGGGGACTGAGACCAGATGGTAAAAGAACTTGCCCCTCAGTGGGCTGGTACTAAGAGGCCTGCTGAATAACAATCCCACGGCAGAAGATGGTTCTCATTTCCTAATGGCGTCTGGGTTAGAAAGTGGCCCATGGTAATAAGCCAGCCTCTCCAATTTACTGAGCCTAGAAGCTTAAGAGATACCTGACTGGCACTTCCGAGAACTGCTGTTTGCTCTGTGGCAAACGTCTCTAGCCGCGGCACAGCCTGTTACCTGGTACCACCTGGAACCCTCACCCCCACCTCACTTCACCCCCGCCCAGGGACGCGATTTACCTTTGGGGCACAGCTATTTCTGGACACACACACACACCACTCTGGGTCTGTTCCCTGCCAGGCACCCACACTTACCAAACCAGTCCAGAAGAGAAAGAACAGGAACAACCATGCCGTATCTGTGCATTTCCTATAAATCTGAGGTCGCCATGGTCTTTGCCTGGGGGTTCTTTCTGCGGAATCCTTCCAGAATAAGAAGGAAGAGTGTTTAGGAAAAGAGGATAATTATATATTTAGGTCCCAACCTAGAAAATGAGCCCAAACTTACTAGAAGACTGTTTAAAGTAACTTTTTTAAAAAAACGTGGCCTCCTGAACCGTTCACCAAGCCTTTGAAACACCTGCCGTGTGCGGAGCGGATGAGAAGTTCCCAGCTGCCGAGTCCTTACCTGGAGACGCACCTAGAGGCGGCCCCAAGTTGGTGCCTGGAGGCCAGCCTCTCCCGCGCCTCCGCCCCAGCAGCCGAGTGGGTCCGCGGTCCACCCCACCAGGTGCCCCCGGACGCGGCGGCGCAGGGCGGGAGGTCGATCCGCGGGATCCCGGGAGACGGAAGCGTCCCCGCGGGGCAGGTGCGTGGAGGGCCCGATCCTTCCCCGCGCGCGATCCCTCCCTGCGACCAGGTGCGGGCCTTACCAGGTGCTCCGCTCCGAGGCCCTGCATCTTGCCCTTCGCACCGGGGGCCGCGCACTGGGAGCCCTGGCTGAGCCCGCTGCGGGCCGGCTCGGGGCCCGGAGGCCGACCGGCCAGAAGGGGCGCAGCGCCGCCCCGCGGCAGCCTCCGAGCGCCACGGACTTCGCCCTGTGCTCCGTCCTGAGCGCCCCCCGGCCCCCGCGCGCCCCCGGGGCCGCTCGGGTGCACCACCCGGCGGCCCGCGCGAGTCCCCCCAGCACCTCCCCCGAAGCGGGGCTCTTCGCCGCTCGCCTAAACCACCGCGCGGTGCGACTCCCGACTTGCCCGCGTAGCCTTCGGAAGCGTGAGGTCCCCACTGGCCCCGCCACGACCCTGCGCGCGCCCCCGCTGGGGCATAGTTAGCGTGCGGCCCCGCAGACAGCAGGAAATAGAAAGCCTCGGGAAACCATTGCGGAGGGCGGGCCACGGTGGAATGCCGAATTACATCTACCTAGCTAACAGGTGAGCGCCTGTTCCCTGCATCGGGTTCTATTCTAACCGCTTTCAAAGGCATTATTAAAGAGTCAACCAGGCAGAAACTACCATTGCCCCAATCTACAGATGAGGCAAACTGAGGCACGGACAGTAGCCATGTAATTCGCTCGGGGACACACAGCCAGCAAACTGTAGAGCTAGGAGAGCTGAACCCCAAGACTCGAGGGGTTGTCAGGGTGGTTCTCTTAACACCAGGATGCGGCCCGGGGCTGCTGTGCTTCGTGGAGAAACTAAAGCAGCTGGAGGAACCGCAGCTTCCAGGAAGTAAATCAGAAATTAAAAGGCTGGGGAATCTAAAGATTGCCTTAATCTGTGAACATGTGGAAGGTGGGTGGCAGGAGGAGACGCCACAAAGTTAGGTGGGATGAACCAGACTTCAGGTTCTGCTTTCGCCGCTCTGACCCAGTGGTCGCTCTTCACAGGTGAAATGGTAACAACTCAGAAGCCACTGGTGGGGAGTCCTCCCTGGGAATAGCTGACCAACACAAAAGTGCTGTTGGGGTGAGACATTAAAAACTGAAGGTGGACCCCCTACCGCCCTTTCACTCTCCTCCCCACCCACACACCTAGGGCGGCCAGGATACTGTTTCTTTTCAGCCCTGCTTCTCCCTGAGGGTAGAACCTGGCTGAGGAATGATCTGGTGTAGTCAGAGAGTGGGAGGGACGCACAGTGGCTCTCCTGTGCCTGAGACTGGTTCTGGGCTCATCACCGACCTCCCACCCCTACCTAAGTCACTGGGCCTTCTGGATGCATGTTGATCAGAGTAGCTGAAATTCCAAGAGAACATGAATTCACAGGCCAAATAACTACACCTGTGAGGAGTACAACTACCATAAAATGATAACAATTGAACAATGTATGCCGTCTGAAATGGAATAATTAAAATTGGACCAAGATTTTTAAGTAAGCATGATAAATATATTTAAGAAAGTGAGGAATGACAATAGCAATATAGGTCAGGAAAAAAATCATGGAACTAAAATAAATAGAAACATCAAGCATGAAGAATATGATAATAGAATGAATATTCTTTATCAATAACATGGATAAACCATAGACTGGATGCAGCTGAAGAGGCATCAGTGATTGGAAAGAGTAGTTTCAACAGCTTGCCAGCAAAAGGCAGCTATTTTTAAAATTTCTAATTAATATCAAGAATAGAACTAGAACAGAAAGGGAATGATATGAAAACAGAGAGGAAGAAATATTTGAAGACAATGGGAATAAATTTCAAGGTGGAAAGAGGGAAATAAATCTCAGATTTAAAGGGCAAGTCTCAAGCCAAATATTTTTATTGTTTTAGGAATTTCTTAAAAATCCACTTATTGGAGCAATAGATTGACTACTCAAGTAATTCTCGTTAGAATTACAGCTTCTCCTCAGAACCATACCTCAGTCAACTGGGTGATTCCATGACTGTGCCATTCATGGCTCACTTCAAGCCTGCCCCTCGCTGGTCCCACCCATCCTGAACTGTTAAATGACAAACCTGCTAATCCAATCAGGCTGCCTGCATTGAAAGGCCGGTCTTATACCAGACCCTAAAGATCTTATAAATATCCTATCCTTGAAATACATCAAATAATATTCATGTTCATAAATTCACAGTAATACTCAACAAAAATAAAGCCTCATTGATTGCCTTTAGAAGATTCTAGGGAACTAACTCATTATCAAAAACTGGTAAATAAAAGGACAGAATCAAGCACATATCCTGTCTCTTCTACCTGAACCATTCATCAGGGTAATCATGTAATGGATGAAGGAGGTTTCGCTTTATAAAAGTATTCTGGCTTTTAAGTGCCAAAGGGATGATAGAATTTAGGACCTCACAGTTTTTTTTTTTTTAATTTATTTTTATTAGTTGGAGGTTAATTACTTTAAAATATTGTAGTGGTTTTTGCCATACATTGACATGAGTCAGCCATGGATTTACATGTGTTCCCCATCCCGATCCCCCCTCCCGCCTCCTTCCCCTCTGGGTCTTCCCAGTGCACCAGCCCTGAGCACTTGTCTCATGCATCCAACCTGGGCTGGTGATCTGTTTCACCCTTGATAGTATACTTGTTTCAATGCTGTTCTCTCAGAACATCCCACCCTCGCCTTCTCCCACAGAGTCCAAAATTCTGTTCTGTACATCTGTGTCTCTTTTTCTCTTTTGCATATAGGGTTATTGTTACCATATTTTAAAATTCCATATATATGCATTTGTATACTGTATTGGTCTTTATCTTTCTGGCTACTTCACTCTGTATAATGGGCTCCAGTTTCATCCATCTCATTAGAACTGATTCAAATGACTTCTTTTTAATGGCTGAGTAATATTCCATTGTATATATTTACCATAGCTTCCTTATCCATTCATCTGCTGATGGGCATCTAGGTTGCTTCCATGTCCTGGCTATTATAAACAGTACTGCGATGAACATTGGGGTGCACATGTCTCTTTCAGATCTGGTTTCCTCGGTGTGTATGCCCAGGAGTGGGATTGCTGGATCATATGGCACTTCTATTTCCAGTTTTTTAAGGAATCTCCACACTGTTCTCCATAGTGGCTGTACTAGTTTGCATTCCCACCAACAGTGTAAGAGGGTTCCCTTTTCTCCACACGCTCTCCAGCATTTATTGCTTGTAGACTTTTGGATAGCAGCCATCCTGACAGGTGTGTAATGGTACCTCATTGTGGTTTTGATTTGCATTTCTCTGATAATGAGTGATGTGGAGCATCTTTTCATGTGTTTGTTAGCCACCTGTATTTCTTCTTTGGAGAAATGTCTCTTTAGTTCGTTGGCCCATTTTTTGATTGGGTCATTTATTTTCTGGAATTGAGCTGCAGGAGTTGCTTGTATATTTTTGAGATTAATCCTTTGTCTGTTTCTTCATTTGCTATTATTTTCTCCCATTCTGAAGGCTGTCTTTTCACCTTGCTTATAGTTTCCTTTGTTGTGCAAAAGCTTTTAAGTTTCATTAGGTCCCATTTGTTTATTTTTGCTTTTATTTCTAATATTCTGGGATGTGGGTCATAGAGGATCCTGCTGTGATTTATGTCGGAGAGTGTTTTGCCTATGTTCTCCTCTAGGAGTTTTATAGTTTCTGGTCTTACATTTAGATCTTTAATCCATTTTGAGTTTATTTTTGTGTATGGTGTTAGAAAGTGTTCTAGTTTCATTCTTTTACAAGTGGTTGATCAGTTTTCCCAGCACCACTTGTTAAAGAGGTTGTCTTTTTTCCATTGTATAGCCTTGCCTCCTTTGTTGAAGATAAGGTGTCCATAGGTATGTGGATTTATCTCTGGGCTTTCTGTTCTGTTCCATTGATCTATATTTCTGTCTTTGTGCCAGTACCATACTGTCTTGATGACTGTGGCTTTGTAGTAGAGCCTGAAGTCAGGCAGGTTGATTCCTCCAGTTCCATTCTTCTTTCTCAAGATTACTTTGGCTATTTGAGCTTTTTTGTATTTCCATACAAATTGTGAAATTATTTGTTCTAGTTCTGTGAAAAATACCGTTGGTAGCTTGATAGGGATTGCATTGAATCTATAGATTGCTTTGGGTAGTATAGGCATTTTCACAATATTGATTCTTCCAATCCATGAACACGGTATATTTCTCCATCTGTTTGTGTCCTCTTTGATTTCTTTCATCAGTGTTTTATAGTTTTCTATGTATAGGTCTTTTGTTTCGTTAGGTAGATATACTCCTAAGTATTTTATTCTTTTTGTTGCAATGGTGAATGGTATTGTTTCCTTAATTTCTCTTTCTGTTTTCTCATTGTTAGTGTATAGGAATGCAAGGGATTTCTGTGTGTTAATTTTATATCCTGCAACATTACTGTACTCATTGATTAGCTCTAGTAGTTTTCTGGTAGAGTCTTTAGGGTTTTCTATGTAGAGGATCATGTCATCTGCAAACAGTGAGAATTTTACTTCTTCTTTTCCTATCTGGATTCCTTTTAATTCTTTTTCTTCTCTGATTGCTGTGGCCAACACTTCCAAAACTATGTTGAATAGTAGTGGTGAGAGTGGGCACCCTTGTCTTGTTCCTGACTTTAAGGGAAATGCTTTCAATTTTTCACCATTGAGGATAATGTTTGCTGTGGGTTTGTCATATATAGCTTTTATTATGTTGAGGTATGTTCCTTCTATTCCTGCTTTCTGGAGAGTTTTAATCGTAAATGGATGTTGAATTTTGTCAAAGGCTTTTTCTGCATCTATTGAGATAATCATATGGTTTTTATCTTTCAATTTGTTAATGTGGTGTATTACATTGATTGATTTGTGGATATTAAAGAATCCTTGCATTCCTGGGATAAAGCCCACTTGGTCATGATGTATAATCTTTTTAATATGTTGTTGGATTCTGTTTGCTAGAATTTTGTTAAGGATTTTTGCATCTATGTTCATCAGTGATATTGGCCTGTAGTTTTCTTTTTTTGTGGCATCTTTGTCTGGTTTTGGAATTAGGGTGATGGTGGCCTCATAGAATGAGTTTGGAAG